TGTGTGTGTGTGTGTGTGTGTGTAAATAAAATCACACTCTAATCTTCTTGACTCTGAATATATACATTTTTATTAAAAGTTTTTAAACATTAAATAACATTAAAACTTTCATTTAGACTCAACAGACTGTTGTCACTTCCCGTCCAATCAAAATGAAGATGAGCTGAAAAGATTCTGCGATGCTGCCGGTTACCACGGCAACCCGCAGCATCTTCCCGCCAGAGGGGAAGGTCTGCCGTTGCCGTGGTAACAGCAGCCCCTCCCTCTCAGAGCGGCGGCAGGGTGGAGCAGCAGACGGACCGCAGCAGCAGGAGCATCAGGAGCAGCAGCAGGAGGTAAGATCTCCTCCTCTTCCTCTCCTATCACCTCCTCCTCCTCCTCCTCCTGCTCCTCAACACGTCTCCTCCGGGAGCCTCGGACCTCCGGAGCTCAGGAGGCCGCAGCAGCAGAGAGAGTTCCTGTTCTGGGAGCGCCGCATGGACCCGGTTAGCCTGCAGGCTCCTGATGAGGAGGAGGAGGAGGATGTGTGTGCAGGAGGAGGAAGAGGAGGAGGAGGAGGAGGATGTGTGTGCAGGAGGAGGAAGAGGAGGAGGAGGAGGAGGATGTGTGTGCAGGAGGAGGAGGAGGAAGAGGAGGAGGAGACACCAGAATCAGAGTTTAATTGTTGCTGCATCGTTGAGGCAGCTCGGTTTGTGAGCTTACTGAGGCCTACTCTTCTCCTCCTCCTCCTCCTCCTCCTCTGCTCCAGATTGCATGCTGTGTGGTTTTGCGGTTCCGGTTCAGGGGGTCTAGATTCCAACAGTATTGCAGTTTTTCTGGTTCTGGCCCCTCCTCCTCCTCCCTCGGTCCGTCCTCAGAGGTGCTGTGGACCAGGGGCAGGTTCTCCCCGTTGTTCTGGTTCTGGTTCTAGCCAAGGCTGCTGTTTGGGTCTGTTATGGTAATATTTATTTAAAGGTCAGACACAGGGTTCAACAGAGTTCAACAGTAGTGTGGAAGGGTCAGAGGTGGTGGTGGGGCTCTGTGACTTAATGTAGATCTTGGTTTAGTGCCTGGGGCTGGAAGATGAGTTAGCAGGATTTGGGTGTGGTGTTTGTTTGATCTTAATCTCACTAGGTTCTTTCATGTTAGTAAAATCCAGGAGGGGGCATTCCACTTGCTGTCCTGTTGGGGTCTCAGAGTCCAAGAGATCCTCTGTTTGTGATGCTGATGAATCCAGTTGTTCTTCCGGTTCTGCAGCTTGAAGTAACTCCTCTCTCTCTGGTTCTGATTCTGAAGCTGTCTCCTTATCAGTAACTGGCACACTGTGTTCCACTGATATCTCAGTTTTCTTCAGATGTCCTTCAGACGTCAGCTGTTGTGGTTTTTCCTGTTGTTTGTTTCCAGCTCAAACTTTGTTCAGGAAATACTTCATATTGGAAACCAGAAGTTGTGCTCCAGTTTGATTCAGAGTCATTCCATCAGACTTGAAGAGATGTTTTCTTTCCCAGAAGAGGTCAAAGTTATCCATAAAACTCACAGAGTGGTCAGCACAGGACTTTTCCAAAAAACCATTAAGAGCCAACAGTCTACTGAACCTCTCAGCTCCTCCTCTGGCTGTAGGAACAGGTCCACTGAGGAACACATCCATGTTGAGATTTTTAACTGCATTCAGCAGAAGAATAAAATCCTTCTTCAGGATTTCTGACTGTCGGTTCATCACTTCATCACTTCCTGTATGAATGATGAGTGGACAGTGAGGGACAGGACCACAGACCAGGGACAGGACTACAGACCAGGGACAGGACCACAGACCAGGGACAGGACCACAGACCACAGACCAGGGACAGGACCACAGACCAGGGACAGGACCAGTCCTTCATCTGTTTAAATCTGAGATTCTCTGAAATCTACAGTCAGATTAACAGATTAGATAAAACCAAACATCTGGTCAGTTCATCAGGTTCAGCTGCTGGACCATCAAGCGGTTCTGTTCTGCAGGACGTTGGACATGATGAAGACTTTTTCACTGATGACTGAGCTGAGTTTGTCTCTGGTGGGATGAAAGTGTTCTGATCCATGGCTCAAAGGTTCTGAGGCAGGTTTCATGTGTAAAAGTGAACATCAGCAGCTGGATCAGTTGTTTGTGTTGTGATTAATTTATACCTTTTTTAACTTGTTAAAAGTCGTTTCTCCTCCTCTCATCTGTGCAGGAGCAACAATGGATGGAGACTCCGCTCTCGTCAAAAATGGCCCCACCCAGGAGGAGCAAAGCATGATGGGAGGTTTGTGTTGGCCTGTCAATCACAGATGTGATCAGTTATTAAATATAAAAATGATGACGCTTCAAATCTGAGTTAACACTGTCCGTACGTGAAAGTGGCRCAGATTGATCACTTCCTGTTTTCCAGACAGATCACTTCCTGTCTTATCTCCTGGTYGTCATGGTAAAAGGGTCTAACGTCTCTCTTCCTCCTCAGGTAAAGCAGCAGCGAAGGATCCTGAAGCCATGAAGGTAAGATATTGATTGTGTTTCTGGTAGAACAGGTGAGTCTCACCTGAGCGTTAACGATTCACTTCCTTTAAAATTTTTAAAAACATCTGAGGGTTATTGGAGTCTTCAGTTCCCTTTCTGGAGACTCTGAACCCCAGAACTAGACCAGTCCAGTCCAGTCTGTAGAGGAGAGCTGCTTTTGATGTATGGGAAGAGACTGAATTTGAATCGTTCGGACTGAATCTGTTTTTACAGAATGTGAAATTAAACGCACTGCTTTGAAAATAAAATTTATCAAATTGAAACTGAATTAATTTGAATCTGTTAATCTGTGATTGATTACTCTAAACTGAATTATAGATCTGAAAGTGATCCAACTGACTTTTTAATACAAGAAAATACAGTTTCAAAGCAAATTAATTTAGATTCAGAGCGTTCAATTCAGTTTCAGTTTGTGAAATTCATTTTCAATTAATTTAATTTCACATTATGTAAATATAGATTTATTCTGACTGATTCATATTTGGTTTGTGATTGGCACAAGTTTCATAAATTCTAAATTTATGTTAAATTTAAAGTTAAATTCTGTTTTTGTGTTTTAGGCGTCCAGACCAGCAGGGGGCGGCAGAGCGGCAAAGATGATCTCAGCAAAGAGTACAGGTACACCTCACCAGTAAAACCAGTGAAACAACTGAAGCAGTTCTCACCTGACTCACCTGTCTGTCCGTCTGTCTGTCAGAGTCTGTCGACGGAGTCAGCAGTCCAGGAAGTCGCTCACCTGCCAGCAGGTCGTCCACTCCCAACAAGGATGTGAAGAAGGTCCAAACACATTAAAACACCTGTTCAATCTCTAGTTCCACCTGTCTGCTATACACCTGTCCACCTTTTTAAACACCTGTCCATCTGTTCACCTTTTTATACACCTGTCCATCCTACAGGTTTACACAGATCCAAAATAAATCACAGACCTTAAAGGGTCCTGGAGTGGATCAGACTGACCTTAAAGGGTCCTAAGTGGTTCAGACTGATCTTGTTCAGACTGGCCTTAAAGGGTCCTGGGTGGATCAAAATGATCTTAAAGGGTCCTAAGTAAATCAGACTGGCTTTAAAGGGTCCTTAGTGGTTCAGGCTCTAAAGTGGTTCTGTGGTTAGGTTCTGGTTAAATTAACTAAACTGGTTTGGAGTGAATCCTACAAACATGTCTTCCCAGGAGGAAGCAGAGCCTGAGGACCCTGGGTCGGACTCTCTAATCTCTGGTGCCGAGGTCACTGAGGTGTTTAAAAAGCTCCTCGGTGGCAAGGCTCCGCCTCCAGGGGTGGATGAGATTCGCCCAGAGTTCCTTAAGGCTCTGGATGTTGTGGGGTTGCGTTAGTTGACGCAACTCTACAATATCGCATAGACATCGGGGGTAGTTCCTCTGGATTGGCAGACTGGGGTGGTGGTCCCCCTGTTTAAAAAGGGGGACCGGAGGGTGTGCTCCAATTACAGGGGGGTCACACTCTTAAGCCTCCCTGGTAAGGTCTATTCAGGGGTCCTGGAGAGGACGGTCTGTTGGATAGTCGAATCTCGGATTCAGGAAGCTCAATGTGAGTTTCTTCCTGGTCGTGGAACAGCGGACCAGTTCTACACCCTCAGYAGGGTCCTGGAGGGTGCATGGGAGTTCACCCAACCAGTCTACATGTGTTTTGTGGACTTGGAGAAGACGTTCGACCGTGTCCCTCGGGGACTCCTGTGGGGGGGCATCCAGGAGTATGGGGTACCAGGCCTGTTGATACAGGCTGTTAGGTCCTTGTACGACCAGTGCCAGAGCTTGGTCCACATTGCTGATAGTAAGATGGACTTGTTTCAGGTGAGAGTTGGACTCCGCCAAGGTTGTCCTTTGTCACCGATTCTGTTCATAACTTTTATGAACGGAATTTCTAGGCACAGTCAAGGTGTTGAGGGGATCCTTTTCGGTGGCCTTAGGATCACATCTCTGCTTTTTGTGGACGATGTGGTCCTATTGGCTTCATCAGATCCTGATCTCCAGCTCTCGCTGGAGTGGTTCACAGTCGAGTGTGAAGAGGCTGGGATGAGGATCAGTGCCTCCAAATCCCAGACCATGGKCTTGAGCTGAAAAATGGTAGCGTGCTGCCTCCAGGTCGGGGAAGAGGTCCTGCCCCAAGTGGAGGAGTTTAAGTATCTCAGGTCTTGTTCACGAATGAGGGAAGAATGGAGCTGCAGATCGACAGGTGGATTGGTGCTGCGTTTGCAGTGATGTGGACGYTGWACCGGTCTGTCGTGGTGAAGAGAGCTGAGCCAGAAGGTGAAGCTCTCGATTTACCAGTTGGTCTATGTTCCTACCCTCATCTATGGTCACGAGCTTTGGGTAGTGACTGAAAGAAGGAGATCACAGATACAAGCAGCTGAAATGAGTTTCCTCTGCAGGGTGTCTGGGCTCTCCCTTAGAGATAGGCAGAGAAGCTCAGTCATCCAGGAGGGACTCAGAGTAGAGCCGCTGCTCCTCCACGTCCAGAGGAGCCAGTTGAGGTGGTTCATCTGGTTAGGATTGATTTGATTTGATTTATTTATTTAACAGGAAAAGATGATTAAAAATCAAGCCTGACTCAGCATAAT